CTACCCATCATCCTTCAAGCCGAGCTCCAAAGGTTCTTTCCTCCCAATTGTCCCACAGAATTAGTCCCTCCTTCCTACACTCACTCAACAAATAATTACAGCATGCTCAGCGTGTGCTGGACAGTATTCTAGACTGTACTAAATCGAACAACAAATAACAAAATAATGATCCTGCCTTCTTGAAGCTTTCTCTTTGTAGATGGTGCTGTGGGCAGGAGGGTGGGAAATGCAATGGGGAAATCCTAGACTATGACAAGGAGGATCACAGGCCATTGATAGGAGGGAAGTTGCAATTTTAGACAAGGTCACAGGGTCCCTCACTGAGATGGTAACCTTTGAGCAAAGACATAAAAGAGATGGGGAGGCGAGGAGAGCAATCCCAGCACGAAGAGGGAAGAAGCACTGTGACTCTGCAACACGTTCTTCACCGATGCCTCCGAAGATGCTGGCTTCTGAGGGGCCGGCATGGAGCATGCGTGCTGGGGTGTGCAGCAGAGATGGAAGATCCCAGGGGCAGTGTCTGCTTGCGAGGACATTTGCGAATGAGTGAGGATGTCATATGCAGATCAGTAACATGCGGCACACTTGAAGCTAGCAAAACTGGAAGCCCCTGGAGGGCAGGGGCACAGGCCTCACAGGATGTGGCTTGTGATGCCAAAGGGGTGATCACTCTGGCTGCCTCGTGGGAAAGAGCTGCAGGTGTTAAGAGTGAAGCAGCCCGCCTCGGGGACTGAAGCACAGGGCGGGGTGAAGTGGCTCCCTTCAGGTGGCAGCTGGTGCTCAGATTCCACGGTATTTTAGTGTCTGTTGACGCTCAATAGTTTCCCCTTTAAAAGGTGCTCTTTTGGGGCAGGACTGTGTTCCCTCACCTAACACCCCACTTTGAGCCTAGCAGGGTGCCTGGTTCCCAGCAGAGTTCCGCCAGTGTTTGGAGACGGCGCTTACCTCTGACACCCTGGCACGCTGTTTGTTTTCAGAATTGGAACCACACGAGGAAGTACAAGCAAACACCCTGAGCAGCTGCCCATGTGTTCAGAGAGGAGCGGCCACAAACGACCAATTCTCTCACCAGGGGAAGCTCTGCAACTCCTTCCCCAGGTCCTTTATGAATTTATCAAGAAAATGGAAAACATCAAATGAAATTTGCTTAAAAAAAATTTGCTAAAACTGAATTTCCCCAGTTAAAACCGGTCTGGTTCCCCGCCATTTGCCAGATTTGCCTTTTCTCAGTTGATTTCTACGGTTTCCGTCTGTCCTGAAACTCTCGTTTCCCCAGGCTTCCAGGAGTCAAGGTGCTCTTTACCAACCCCAACAACAAGGCTAACTTTACGTGTCTTTTGCAACCGACCTGCCTTGATTTTAGATTAAATACTTCACCCTTAAAAAAAAATCACATGGGAGCTCTACCATAAACAGTAGAAAGGGTCGAAAGTTTTAAGAATCATTACAGTAAAAGTCAGCTGACTCTTCTTTGGTCATTATACATATTACATGATACATGTACATATTCATGTTACATAAGTGAACAGAAAAAAAACGCATGATCCAAAATAAAGTGCTCTTGGGTTCTATTCTCATACTGGTGGAGCACTAGATAGTTAGTCAAGACTGGTCCTGAGCCAATGCACTAAGAGTCAACTAAGGCTGGGCGGTGGAGGCGCACGCCTTTAATCCCAGCACTCGGGAGGCAGAGGCAGACGGATCTCTGTGAATTCAAGGCCAGCCTGGGCTACAGAGTGAGTTCCAGGAAAGGTGCAAAGCTACACAGTGAAACCCTGTCTCAAATAACAAAAAACAAAAAACAAAACAAAAAAAAAATGAGCCAACTAAGAAGACCTATGAAATAAGGATTTTGAGAACCTGAACAGTTACGACAGTGTCCAATCTCATTTTACTGAGACGATGAAGTACGCTAACGGTAACCAGTCACCTCAACTCCATACGGCTTCCTTCCTACTGCTGACAGCAGAACCCAGGACCCAGATGTCTGGACACCTGTCCCAGGGCTTCTCTGCTAACCAGGGAGCCTGCCCAGGGGCCTCCCGGATGGCTCTGCAGGATGCTCTGAGAAGCTGGCTGCCCTCCCTGACACCCCGGCACCTTTTCATTGCTTGAATCAGAAATCAGCAAGGGGCCCCTATTTGGAGGTGATTCGTGCTGGGTAGAGGACCCTTTACTTCCCCATTCCTTGTCAGTCAGTTCTTCCAGGAAATACCCGCCCCCAGACTCCCCTCAGAGATGTATCTCCTTAATTAATTCCAGATCCAACCAAGTTAATGACAAAGATTAACCCTCACAGTGATTAATATTAATATAAACTGTGTAGCCCAGTTTTTGGATAGTTCAGAGGAACATGGATCTTCGTGATTGCATTTGCTAAGGATGGAGGGTTGGAGGCTTGAGAAACACACTGGCATTTAGGGGACCACCAAAGAGGTCTGAGGGGAAGCAGCCTTGTTACCACTGCTGCCATTGTTGACTGGCGATGCACACCCTAGCTTCTTCGGCCTGTTAGTCTGGACCACAGACCCATGATACCCCATGCTCCCAGCATCCTCCAGGACTTCAATGCCACACTGGGACTGTGGAGGTATCCAGCCTCGAGCACTGATCAGCTACTGGATCCTCAGTCTCTCCAGCATGAAGACAGCCATTGCTGAACTACCCAGAAGCATCATGTAAGGCAGTCTAACGAGTTACCCTTGTGATACACAACTACCCTGCTGGGTCTGCTCCCCCAGAGAACTCTGAGCACACAACCACACAATCACCTCCCTGATGGTGACATTTCTGAAGTCTGGACTCTTCAACCTACCAGAGAATTTGAACACATTCCCCAAGACAGAAAGAGCAGACAGTTGAGAAGAAACACAGCTAAAATTATGCTGATGTCCCTGAGATCAAATCAAAAGTACAGGAGGCCTTTAGAAAATAAGTTCAGATAAGCAAGGTAAAGATGTTGAGGAAGATCAAAATGCACTTTCTGTCTGTAAGACTATGGGGGTTTTCCCCACAAATGTAAATTATTCATTAGTATTTATTATTATGTCTGTGGGTTCCCCTCTATTTTCACATTGAGTACTGTGAAGCAAGGTTTCATGGAGACTGCACTGGTCCAGCTACAGACAGCTGCTGTCCCTGTGCATCACGAGGAAAGAATCCCACTGGTGGGCACGTCGCACTGTGCCACTGTGAAGTTTAGAAGAGGACCTGCTAGATGCCGCCAAGTGCAGGACATGCAATTCCTGACTTTCACTTCTTGGAATCCGAGAAGCCCCGGCAGCAAGACACCTCCATCTTCTTGTCCATCAACCAGCATGAAATCAGCCTAGAAAATCGCAGAGCAGCACAAGGTCCTGGCAAGGCTTCCTGTGGCTTTCACAGCTTTCTTAACCAAGGCATCCTGGGGAAGCCTCTAAATGGCCAATGCAAATAACTCTAGTAAACACATTATTTTTAACCTCCAAAGGGAAAAAAAAAAAGAGTTGTTTGCATTGTTATTCCTCCAACAATCTCTGTCTAGACTGTCAGGTTTGCACTGTTTCTTGCCGGTTTCACACAACAGTATGAGGAGGGTACACATGAGTGTGCATGTGTGTGTGCAAGCATGTTAAAGAATTCATTATTTTGTCTGTGGGCTCCCATCCATTTTCACATTGAGTGCTATGAAAAATCAGAAAGTCAAAGAATTAAGAATAAAAATAATGCAATTACCAAGTGAAAATGCATCGAATACCTTTCTGTTTCTACATTGTGAATATTTCTTCTTCGAGTAGCACAAAACAAACTCCCACCACCCAGCACATTTATTTATAATTTAGTTCTCGAGCAGCAATCGGGTAAGCTGATATCCAGACTCTTCTGCTCTCTCCGAAGAGAATGCCTCTGCACCTCACCTTCTCCAAGTTGGAAAGTTTTCATTAGATGCATTTAATTGGTCTGACATACAACTCAGGACATCCTCATTTAGAAAG